ACACACACACACACACACACACACACACACACACACACACACACACAGAGAGTACAATCAACACTGGGAACAACAAATAACACTAATGTACTGTATTACTGCTCTAAAGTGGCAGACGTATTTTCTCCTGGTAAAAAAACAACAACATGACAAAACGGTTCTCTCTCGTTTGAACGGTTGCAGAAACATAGAAGGCCAATGTTTGAGCATAAAGCATGGCTAAGGTGTGCATATATATTTTCACTCAGATAATATTTAAGAATATTTCATCACTCCTCTAAAGGGAAATGAATAGTTTGATGTTTTGGTGTATAAAGAATACGCTAATTAGCTTGATACCAACCTCTCCCCCATTTCCAGTCTTTAAGCTAAGCTAAGCTAACCGGCTGTAGCTTCAGCTTTAACAAACGTATACGAGTTCGGTATCGATCTTCTCGTGCAGCTCTCAGCAAGAACTTCCCGCTCACACACAGACACGTCTACTTTTCGCCGGTCTTCTTACCGATGACAAATACCGGCATGAAGGCTCCGCAGGGCACCGGGATGGTGGTGGCCAGAGCAGACATCCAGAACTAAGACAGAACAAAGAGAAAGACGCAACATCAAAAGAAGGAACAGGGTGGCATTTCAATTAGCCGCAGAGTACCATCCTGTGTGGCAGCCATGCAGAGTTTATTGCTGAGGTTAGATTGAGCTGTCACTTCCAACTTTTCAGTCGACAAAGACCCTGAAATGAACCCTGGGTAATGAGCGGGCCCCGCTGATTGGCCTACACTGTGCGGAGGAGACTGCTAATTCGGAAAGACCAACAAAAAAAAGGGAAATGTCACCACTGACAATGTGTGAGCACTATCGTCAGGTGTGTGTGTACTTGGTTATATAGGCAGATATGAGTCTTAAATGGCTGACATGCTTATTTTTGGGAAAAGAAAAAGCTGTGCAGATTCATAAGGCTGTATTCAAACTAAGTACCGTTCACACACACTAGTGTGGACTCATTAGATTAAACATCTCATTCAAATTCTGTTTGAACTCAGCCAGTGTAATATTGATCCATCCTACAGTAAATATATGACTGATCATTATACCCTTGACATGGGAGGTGGACAACATTGACTCAAGCCCATCTTTAGTATATAATCAACTTTAGGATAAAACCGTCACATTTATTTGAGGCTTTTACGACGTCAAGCGGTCAAATTTTGCGACTTAGAAAATAAACTACTGGACGTTAGCGAGTTGTTGGTTACTCTTTAAAAAGGAACAGATTCTCTTGCTTTGAGTTGGATGACAAGATTGACATCACTCTCATGTAAACAAAGCCTACAGCCCAGGCGGCAAACTCCGGTTCTTAAAAATGAAACAAACTGTCTTAAAGCTGCATTCTCTCTAATGTCCAGCAGGGGGCGACTCCTCTGGTTGTATAGGAGTCTATGAGAAAATGACTACTTCTCTCTTGATTTATTACCTCAGTAAACATTGTAAACATGAG